TAAGGTCAAGATCGATAGACATGCTTCTCTCCAGAAACCCATTCTACAGATCACATATACGCCGCAAATACCCAACTTTACCATCAGAGATATCATTGCTACTATCAAGGCAGTAGATGAGGCCATCATTCCTTCAATATACCATCCACCCACTCTAGAGGAACGATCTCGACAGCTTCATTCTCGAGAACAGCTGCGCATTCTCATCCGAGTGTTCCTTGCCCTAATCATCGCCGTACCTACCCTGATTATTGGTATCATCTATATGAGTCTCGTTTCGAGACAAAACCTGGGGAAGCAATTCTTGATGCATCCACTATATGCGGGAGTAAGCCGAACGCAGTGGTCGCTGTTCATCATGGCCACTCCCGTCTACTTCCTGTGCGCCGATGTTTTCCACATCCGTGCTTTGAAGGAGATACGATCAATGTGGCGGCCTGGAAGTTCAACGCCAATTTTTCAACGCTTCTATCGCTTCGGAAGCATGAACATGCTAATGTCTCTCGGCACTTCAGTTGCATACGTTTCATCCGTTGTTCAGCTCATCGTTGCTGGTATCAATAAGCCAAAGCACGTAGACGAAAGTGGTTTCTACTTCGACTCGGTAGTATTTCTCACTCTCTTCCTTCTCGTTGGTCGCCTCATCGAGTCTTACAGCAAGTCCAAAACCGGGGATGCTATTGCAATGCTTGGAAAGCTGAGGCCAACCGAGGCACTGCTAGTTGAGGACCCGAGCGTCTCCAGACGGTCGAGTGGAGATACGCTCATTGAAGATTTGCCCACCGGTGAGCAGCTCGCCATGGGCTCCCAGCCAGAGTCGATTAAGCATGTGAATGTGGATTTACTGGAACACGGTGATGTCGTCAGAATTCTTCATGGAGGCTCACCACCTTGCGATGGTATAATTGTTCAAGGAGGGTCAAAATTCGACGAATCCAGTCTCACAGGAGAATCGCGACGGGTCAAGAAAAACATTGGAGACGAGGTATTCTCGGGTACTTTCAATAAAGATTCACCTGTCTCGATCAGAATCACCGGTGTGGCAGGCAAATCTATGCTGGATCAAATCGTGCAGGCCGTCCGCGAAGGTCAAACCAAACGGGCGCCAGTGGAACGTGTTGCAGACAGCTTAACCGCATACTTTGTACCAGTCATCACATTTATTGCAATTATGACATGGCTAGTTTGGCTTGGACTGGGTGACTCGGGAACCCTACCCCAGAGTTACTTGGGTCATGATCAAGGTGGATGGGTCGCATGGTCCTTACAATTCGCCATTGCTGTCTTCGTTGTTGCTTGTCCCTGCGGTCTGGCATTGGCCGCACCAACTGCGCTGTTTGTCGGCGGTGGACTTGCCGCAAAGTACGGAATCCTTGTCAAAGGGGGAGGTGAAGCTTTTGAAAAGGCTAGCGAGCTTGACTGCATTGTCTTCGACAAGACCGGAACCCTGACCGTTGGTGGAGAGCCCATTGTTACAGACTTTGAAATATCTCCGATCATCTTCGCGAAAGGGTATAAAATGTCTGAAGAAGAGTCTGAAATCCTTCGTCAGGCAAAGGCCTTTGAGGAAGTGAAGGAGAGCACCCGAGAAGAATCTCAGTCGAGAATACTTGGTATGGTGATGGCCCTTGAGGCCGACAGCAGTCACACAGTTGCGAAAGCACTCGTATCGTTCTGCAAAACGATGAGGCTGACGGAACCTTCTGTCGATAAAGTCGAGGAGATTGCTGGAAGAGGCATGAAGGGAACTTTCAACTTTGATGGTCCAGTCTCGGGAAGTCGCATTGAAATGATAATCGGGAACGAGGCGTTCCTGACTAACAATAAGATCGTACTTCGTGGATCTACACAGTCAACACTCGAGAAGTGGAAGCTGGAAGGAAAATCCGTAGCTTTAGTAGCTGTCATGAGCCACTACGGCGCTGTCAAGACGTCAAATGGTACGTGGCAACTCGCAGCCATGTTTGCAATCTCCGACCCAATCCGTCCAGAAGCCCCAGGAATCATCGAAGCTTTGCAAAAGGGAGGAAAAGATGTCTGGATGCTTTCAGGCGATAATCAAATGACAGCCAACGCTATTGGAACCAAAGTCGGCATTCCCCTCTCCAACATCATCGCGGGTGTCCTGCCTGGTGAGAAAGCTGACAGAATCCGCTATCTTCAAACGTCTCTCAAGAAGCGCACTGTCTCTGGTAAAGATCACCACGAAAAACGCGCCCTCGTCGCCATGGTCGGAGACGGTATCAATGACTCTCCAGCACTCACTACAGCAGACGTCGGAATCGCCATTGGTTCCGGCTCTGACATCGCGATTTCTTCTGCCGAGTTCGTCCTCGTTTCTAGTAATCTCAATTCTCTCATTACTCTCCTCGACTTAAGCAGTTTCGTTTTCCGACGCATCAAATTTAATTTTGGCTGGGCTTTGATCTATAATCTGGTTGCGTTACCTGTTGCGGCTGGGGTTTTCTATCCGATTTGTAGTGGTGGGAAACATATTAGGTTAGATCCTGTGTGGGCGAGTCTGGCGATGGCGTTGAGTAGCATTAGTGTAGTTTGTAGTAGTCTGCTCTTGAGGAGTAGGCTGCCTTGGGTTGGGTTTAAGGTTCGGAAGGCTGTTGGTGGGGAGGAGTGAATCATTGTATGCACAAGTACGCAGGATAGAACCGGAACAGATAGGATACTGCTGGGATGAACATTGGGCTTTCTTTTGGCTCGGACGGGAGTCTTTTAGATACCACATTGCGGGTTGTTTGTCAAGGTCTAGTCGAGGTTGATAGAAGTACATTCTCTCAAATTCAGGAGATTCTTCTCCGACTACAATATCAAAGCAGCGATCACCAACGCCCCAAGTAATCCCATGCCTATTCCCAGTCTATTTGTATTTCGTATGGTCCCCCCGCCACTGACTGCCTTGGTCTCAGAAACCATACTGTCGAACGTCTCCTGTAAGACCTCTTCTTGAGCTTTCACTTGGTCCTGCGTCGTGGTATCAACGTCGTCATACCATGGTTGTGCGACTACATCATCCCAATTATAGCCCGATACCGAAAGAGACGAGCGCGCAGATTCTGGCGCTGCTTCTGCAATAGGGAAGATTAAAACGCTTTATTCTTCATTGTTACGTTACAAAATCATCGAACTGAGAATGGAAAAGAATGTTAAGAAAGATGGGAGGAGGGAGAAGAGGAAGAGGGCTTACGGTATACAGCAGCTGTTATCTTCGCGTACGCGGTTCCAGCCGTCCATGTCGCTTGTATGGAGCTCAATGCTTGCCAGACTGATGATGCATCGCCGGCGCCGGCGCCGGCGTTGTTGGTGTTAGTGGCGGTTTTGATGTTTTGGTTGGGGTAGCGGAATGTTGCGGCTATTAGAGGGTAGAAATGGGGGAGTGGGGGGGTGCTAGGATGGGAGATGTTAGGTCTTGATGGATGTTTGGTTTGAAGGTAAGATGAGAGGGGAAGGAAATTAAGAGAGGAGAGGGAGGGGGAGAGGGAGATTTTACGTTGGGGCTGTTCCTGGGGGTTTTGAGGTTGGTGATGAGGAGGATGAGAGGCTGTAGCCGGTGTGGGTCGCAGGTATGAATGGTGTTGGCTGTTGTGCTGATGAGGAGCTTGCGAGACTGAGACTGATGAGGAGGATGAGGAGGGTTTTGAGAGACATCATGGGACCTTGCGACGCCGAGGTAGATTAAAAAAAGGCTGCTTCTTGTAACGGGGTCGAGTGCTTGAAGCTATGATTCTAGCAACAAGTTCCAGGGCTGGGAATAGATAGATAGAATAGAAACAATTATCACAGCAAAATAAAACTTTTTGAAGCTCAAAGATGCAACATCCTCACTAGCTCCAGATATTTGAAGTGGAAAGAAAGATCGAGAATCTTTTCTAGACCGTAGACCCCTCGACCTTATATCTAGGTACGCAAGGCGATGAATCTATCCCAAGATGCAAGTCGCCGTTATATCAATCACTGGGACCCGGATTCCAAGTGCACAGATTCGATGTTTCCTGCATAGCGCCGTGTGGTAATGCGATTGTGACACCGAGGACACTTCTTCTGTACGCCGTGTGCTTGCGTCTTGTGGAACGGGGGACCTGACGATCGATTCTGGATTACTAGGGGACGGGATCTGGGGGATCTGGTCCCCGGTTTCTGAGGCGATTGGAATTTTTTTGTTGATATTATGCGCATGCTGTCGCTTCGGGCTTTTGTAAGTTTGTCTCATACGCGAGCGATTTGCCTGGAGTTGGAGCTGGCTAAGTGTGGGAAATCAACATTTCTTCAACTATATCACGCATTCAGCTATTTTACAGTGGTAAAGAGTCCCCACCTATGTAAACGCGAAGTGGTTTGATTGTGCGATATCTCTTTACTGCCAGGATGAGGTTCATGGTTTTGGTCACTGCTACTTCGATCAGCAGCTCTGTACAGGAACACAGGAGGTTGGAGAGCTTCCCAAACCAGTACATGATTTTGGTTGTGACTACGCTAGCATTGCATTTTATCAGTTCATTTCTCTCTTGTAATAACGATAAAGATCATTATAGCCTCCACCAAGTACTTGAGCTAAGACGATGACACTTGGGAAAGTCAAGCTGCCGAAATCATCAAGAACGGAAACTTAAAGGCGTGTGAGTGAACCTGGTATATTGACTTTGTGTAGCAGATTTCATGCAGCGAAGGATGATTACAGTCCAGCAGAATCTCAGTAGCAAAGCGAGGATAGTTGCCAGTTATTATTTCAATGAGACACAAAATAGTTTAGCTAGTATTGCCATGTTTACAAAATATGAAGCTCGCTTCCCTTGAAACGCGAGGTAGTGGGGTTCGTTTACGTCACCATTGAAGATTGAGAATTGAAATTGCTAGAGGGATTGAAGCAAAAAAAGACTTCGTTTGACTCATAAAAAAGAGATTTTGAGAGTTCCACAGATTCAGGAAATAGTTCGTAGAGAGAGCGAGGAAGGATATAGTGGAACAGCAAAAGGTAGGCTCTGCCAAGAAGGTCGTACCAGGGCTCGAACCTGGGATTCAGCAATACAAGTTCCTGTCAGAAACAAGATCTTTGATACCAATCAAAATGCCGCGTGCTAACCGCTACACTATACAACCGCTTTTATGCTTGAGATGGTGCTCTCTTCCGTCATGTCGCTTTATTAAGTACACTTTTCCATTCTCGCTTCGTGCTCGGACTATTGCTGCAAAATCTGCGACGCTAGTGAACATGTTGTGGGGTTTTCATGATTGACACATTCACGTAACAAGATCACTAGGTATATATCTATTTACATAGTCATGACTTTCGGAGCTTGGAAAACTGAAACTCCTTGAAACGCAACTACGCTGATCTGGCGCAAGGTCGCCACACAGCTTAATTGGGGATTGTTGGTTGACATACAATTTTGGTGGCGGATCCGGACTTCGCTTATCTTCTCCACCTCCGTACCTTCCTTCATTCACGTCGCTATGCAATGTGCCCCTATCTATATCACGACCAGATATCATGGGAGTTTCTGTCAAGAAACCCGTTTACGATTCAGTTACACCGAAGGCGGAAGGGCCTTCGGCATGAGCAACTATTTTTGTCATTTCTCTTTCTCTATTGGATTCATTTGAGTGCAGTGCACCTTCAGGCACGACGGCGTCAGAGCCTACGCCACCTCTCATAAGTGAAGGAACTCGTACTCGGAGCTCGAAACGAAGGATTCCTAGCATGGATCGAAAGCATAACCGAGGATCTGATAAGATGGCACAGATGGTGGCTGCCTTGCATGATCTTATCTGATCATCCAGTAAGTAGGGCCTTCCTACCGATCTGTCCAACCACAGCTTTCCAAAGCATCAAGGGGACATGGAGTGCTTCCGTCTTTGGTAATCGTCGAGCGACAGATAGGGAACAATCCCACTTTCTATCTTCTGGATGCCTTGATCTAGTTTCGCCCTGTGGTCTATTTAAATGTCCTCTCTCCTCTCTCTCACTCTCTATGCTTTCTCATGCATTGTCTTCATTTTGTTGATCGAAGATCTCGCAACAGTACATAAGCTTTATCAGATACAAAGAAATCGGTAAAGGCCCCTTTAATATGACACTGAGCCCTCATGACCCCATTGAGATGGCGGATGTGACAGAACTGGCGCCATCTCCTCACACCGTCCCAGTCACCAAGCAAGACGACCCGTATCTTGTCGCTTTCGCTTTACCTTACGATACCGACAACCCTCTAGACTGGTCTACTGGACACAAGTGGACGGTAACAGATGTTCTCTCAGCAATTGGCTTCAATCGCATCATGGTATCGACAATCATGGCTCCAGCTCTGTCTACCATTGCCAAAGACTTAGACATGACAGTTACCGAGTCAGCTCTGGCTTTATCAATATATCTTATCGCAATTGCCTTTGGACCACTTCTGATCGGCCCTCTTTCCGAATTCTACGGCCGATCAATTGTCCTCCATGCATCAGGAATCTTGTTTCTTGTCTGGAATCTTGCTTGTGGATTTGCAAATACAAAGGAGTTGCTCATCGGGGCTCGATTTCTTGCCGGCTTCGGTGCAAGCCCTATCTATGCGCTTGCTGGCGGAGTATTGAGCAACGTGTGGACACCAGAATAACGAGTTCGTTCTTTGAGTATCTATCTTCTGATCCAGCTGCTCGGAGCTTGTGTAGGTCCGATCATTGGCTGGTATATGGCAGAATGTACAACCTGGAGGTGGATGTTCTGGGCGACGTCAATTTTCCAGGCTGCTTGATTATTGCCACATTCACGATCTTCAAGCAAACCTGTGGTCCACTGATCCTCCATCGACGAGCCGAACGACCTCGTAAGGAGACGGGAGACTAGAGATACCATACGGGGAACGAGGATCTCGAACGCAAAAAATCTCTTCTGTAGACCCTCATCCGCGCATGTTCACGTCCACTTTCGTCTCCTAGCCTTCCATCCAGTCATCCAAATCACGGCTCTTTTGGAAAGATTCAACTATAGTCTTCTATACATCGTGCTCTCTATATCCTCAACATTATGGATCAAACACTACGGCCAATCAGTTGAAATTAGCGGTCTTCATTACATAGCCCTCTCCCTTGGCGAAGTTTTCGGCTCACAAATCTGCGGTTTCTTCGTAGATTTCTTCTACAGGCGCCAAAGAGCCCTCCACCCACATCTCGTCGAATCTCCTGAAGTACGCCTCCCTCTCATGGTCCTAGGCCTAGTAATGGGCTACATCTTCCTCCTCTTTTACGGCTGGACAGCCGAGAACCGCGTATTCTGGGTCGCTGTTGACATTGGCATATTCCTATCTCCGATGGGCATACAGACTGTGAGCATGATAAGCACAGCGTATATTATAGATTCGTATGCTCGACGTCGAGACTTTCCCACGCGGCAAACACTAGGAGCTTATCAATAGACATTGTATCCCCGGCAGCTGAGTAATGACATTGCATTATTCACAAATATAGTGACTCTTCTTATCATAGATCAACGAGTAACTTAACGGGACGTATACAATCACTTGAGTCGATTTGGGAATCGCAACCCCATCAGATACACCCCTTATATATAGCATACGTTGACTTTCACGCTTCAAACCCATTACCACAACTTTCCGCCCATATAGATTCAGCAATTACTTTACGTCTCTCTTGGCCTCTCTTGCGTGAGGGGAAAGAAGCTGAAGCTGAAGCTGATGCTGGGATCTCGCATTTATCGTGTATGATTGGAATCACTCCTTTAGTGAATCATCAAGCCTGGATAATAGATAACTCGGAGCTTCCATCGTAAGAACACCTCCCGCTTAACTTGCTGCTTCGCCAAATATATTTCTCGTGAACTGGATAAGATCCACGAGGTAAACACGCATACAAACTTTGATAATAAGATTGACGATTTTAATCTCTTCGACGTCCACATTACCGATTACAGCATTATCGGTTTCAGCATTATCCACCGAAAGAAACGTAACAATCCGACACTTCAGATACAAGACCGCAGACACTCAGACGTTACTCGAACACAAGAAAAAGTTTATCAGTACAACCTCCACAACCTCTCTTCGAAACCAAGATCGAACCTGAGATAAATGTGCGTCGAGTCAGCTCGACAGTAAATCTGTAGCTGCTATGAGGTAAAGAGATCGTCTTTTGCGGGTTCTTGATCTAACCTAGCAGGGGTCATGTCTCCGACGGCGTGAAGACGACCCTGGGCATTGTTGGTATTGAGATAGCTGAGGAGTGCGAGTTATGCGCTACGATGGCGGAGGAATTGGGGTTAGCTGAGGTAAAGGCTGCGAGCCTGAAGGCAGATGTTAATGGAAATGAGACTTGAGATGAGACTAGCATCGATAGTAGTGGCGCTTCGGCCTGAGATATTAGCGGCTGAGGGTAGATATACCCCGGCTACTTCAGAAGAAGTAGCAGAGAGGCATAATGGCAGGGAGGAGATACATTTTTTTCAACGCGGAAGTTGTATATCATGAAGAATGGTTACTAAGAGGCAATTCGACGTACAGAGAATTTTTCAGAGCAATTAAGATATTTGGAAAGTCACTTCTGGGATATTCTACCCACATGGTGGGTACCAAGAGGTACATACGGACTGCGTGGCGGAGAACATCGCGTGCGCAATTATCGCATCAGAGCAACGTCATTTGCGAAAGATCGAGAACGCAACAAACTCTCTTCTACTTGATTGTCCCATTCCTCGCCCATGTGACTCGCAGGGCCCAATGGATTTCTATACATACCACAAGGTTATCCGAACGAGGCACGTTGAAGTTTACAAGTAGAAATGTGAGCAGCCTTCATGCTCATCTCACACTGTGCAGGGGCTGGTCCTATAGGGAGCCCTTAGACTTCTTTTTCATTCTGTAAAAGCTTGTTCAAGCTATGTACGTGAACTTTTACGACATGTCAGAAAACAGGAGGAAATGATTACCGAGATGACTAGTCCTAGCTGCAGTAGCTGTCCGGCTTTCTGGAGATCATCGAGCCGCTAGAGAATAGTTCAGCCTTAACGAAAAGTCGCTCCGCCTCATCTAGGCATTTGGCGCGCATTTCGGGGGAGTTGATCCAATAGTTGAACTTGGAAGGCGTGTTGCCTAGGCAGTTTCTAGCAAGTACAGGAAAAGAATGTGGCCCGGATGATTGGCATCTACCATGTGTAGAAATGATCGTCGAGACACAAGTCCTGTCAGATCTTAGCAATAACCTAGCTCGAGCTTCGAGAATGATTGAGGGTTCTGTATGGTTACGGGCCGATGTATCTCACGGGCCTAGAGAAGAAGCATCAAGCCAGCCTCGGAAGAAGAATGTCTAGAACTCATCAAGCACAAAAAATTGCTTCTAGTCATGCCGACTAGTATTCCTCTGATTTCGAAAGTGGCAAGCCGTAAGGAAAGGTTGGTCAATAGGACTTATAAATTTTTACTCATCCCAGCTTGCTCACCATACACTAACTGCCTTCTTACCATCCATTGCCTCTTTCGTTTCCCTCAATCTCCAAATATGTTAACTCGCACTTGTCTCTTCGTTCTATTAACAGCAGCATCTGCAGTCAGCGGAGCTGTAGTGTGCACACCCGAGAGACGTATTGCTGGGGGAAAAGGTGTCATATCTGCATACGCCCAAACGCTGCCCGGTGCAACTTATGCAGCCTTCAGCAATCTTCCCTTGGGTATCGGCGGGCTAGGTGGAAAGTGCATCACAACGATCCTCGCAGATGGTCTTCCAGGAGCACCAGTGGGATTCACTGGTAGGGATGTCGTCAATTTCGGCACGGCGACTCGTCAAGTGTTCTCCAAGGTTACGGGATTCTTAACGGATTTTCCACAGAACAATAGCATGGTGATCAACAATGCGAATATTGTGAGTTGTCCACTTCAAATCATTTGCTGGTTTCATATTGTTGCGAGGATACTGACCTTTTTGCCAGACGCTTGGACTACGCAGCATTGTCAAGCTACCGGTTACTTTCAATGCAGATGTCTACCTCGACTATAGTCCTGCTCCAGACTGTCGCATTCAAGCAGTGCGCGCCTATGCTCGGCTTCCAAGCGAAGTTCTAGGAATGATCACAGCCAAGCCTGGCGTTCCTCCTCTTATTGCCGGCT